TGGGGATATTATAATCATCAGTGCATTCATCCATTGGAGAGTTCAGTAGCTTAATATGCTGTTAGGAGGTGGGGCCAGTTGGAGGTGGGTGACTGGGGGTGTGATCGGGAAGGGTGTTTGACCTATCACTCTCTGTGTGCTTTTGAGCTGCCATGTGGTGAGCACTTTTTCTCCACCACACCTTCCTGTCTGTCCCTTCTGTCTTAGAGATAACCAACCATGGACTGAACCTCCACAAACCATGAGCCAAAATAAACTTCTCCTTTAAATTGTGGCTGGAGATTTAGCTCAGTGGTTCCACCACCTGCCTGCCTCACAAGCGCAAGGACCGAAGTTCGATCCCCAGTAGCCGCCCCCCCCAAAAGAAACAAAAAATAAACACACAAAAATAAATTGTGGTGTCAGGTATCTTGTCCCAGTGACAGAAAAGTGACAAATGGAGGAGATTTAGGATACATGTACCACCGTGGTCATCTTTCTAAAGGAATGAAATAGCTGTTCAGGAACAGCTGAAAAGCCTGAGGAACACTTCCAGACCCATCTTGGAAAAGCACATGAGCTTTATGGTAAAATACTGAGTTTTCCCAGCTTCAGCATTTTGACTCTGAAAAACGTGTTCAGTGGGATAGTCTCAAAGCGTAAAATATACTGCTGCAGGCTTCCCTTTGTCTTTGTTCTCAACCACGGTGTACATATGCCTCACTTTATGAAAATGCGATTTATACTTATTCATTTTTGATATAGAAAGTATATGATTTTGAAAGTGTACAGAGAGACAGATTAGTGTTGTTTTCCCACTTAATTTATAAAGAAGAGGAAATTTAGAAAGCTTAAGTGACTTCCTTGGCTAATATTGTCAACACATCAACATTTCTATAAATAATTAAAAATAGATGAAGATCATAAAGGGCAAATGGAAAATAAATATGAACAGCAAGTTCCAGATGAGATCAGAGTGGCCAGTGAACATGTACAAATCACTCAAGCTCAAAAGTAATAAAAATGTAAATAAACCTATGCCATTTTTAATTTTGCTTAACAAATGACTCCCTAACAAAGCAACAAATACAAAACAATGCAAAGATAACAGTGAGAAAATACTGAGGCAATAGCTGAAATCTCTGAGCATCCCTGCAAACATCCCTGCCTGGTTCACATAATGATAATGCCCTGATAAAGAGAAAGGAAAAATAGTCCATAGCAAAGTTAAATGAACAGCAAGTCATGAGGGAGAAATGCAAGCTAGATCACTGAATAAGGAGTATATTATTTACATTGAAGGGGTCCTGATAGTGTGGCTTTAGATTACTGGGAGCCTAGTTTCAATGAACACATCAAATACTTTACTGACTTTATACCATATTTTTGAATTTTATAAAGCTAGGTTCCATGTAAATACAACAGATCTTTGCTTCTGCCTCTTTGGCCATTGTTAATGGACTAGGAGCTCTTAATTTTCCTTTTCAAATAGAATCAAAAGTCTCTAACTTTGATATTAAAATTTTTAGGTATTCATATCTTAGAATAAATTCCCTTGTGCTGTGAATCACGGTCCTATACCAAATACAGCTCATTATACCGTTGTAAATGTCAGCAGATTTCCCATTAGATTACCTAGGAAGTGGTGCTTAATTCCACACTACTAAAATATCATAGTTATTTTCTTACTGTCTGCTTTAAAAATCAGTATTTCTCAATGAATAATTTCATACAGTCCCAATTTCAAATCAGATGGGGTAAAGCAGTGAATTTTAGCCAAACCTGATTCCATTGTAGGTGATACTAAATAATCCTAGAAAATAAAGTTTTCCATTTGAATAAATAAAAATACATAAATTAAATAAGTACTGTAGCCAAGAGAGCTATGAAAATGGTACCTCCCTTATCTGAAAATGTTGGTTTGCTTGTTTTTAGGAAAACAGATTCGATGTTCTTAACTCTTGCTCATTTAAAAGATATTTTTCTTTTCTTATGGCTAATCGATCTCTTGTATTACACCATGGTAATGGTACCTATTATACTTTTCAAACAAGAACCATGCATATCTGGCTTTAAAAGTGTGCTCCTAGAACAAGCATTTGGTTCCAATGGCTTACCACTTTATTGTGGACTCTCTTTAGGTTTCTTAAAATAAACACGTAGCCAGAGCCCACAGTGAATGAGAAGGAAAGGAACACTGCTTTATATCACATACAAAGAAGGGTAATGAAAGTCATGATTTTCTCCTCTGAACCCTTTAACATACATTTGGCATAAATGCGTATGGAGTAACTTTCTTCTGAACATGGGACTAGGATTAATTTCTACACTATGAAACATATGCTGAAAGTAAAAATTCCTATAAAGAGTTCCTATTGGGCAGCTGGCATTCCAGTTTAGCCAGGAAGAAAAGCAACTGTCTCCACAAGGTGGGTTACAAAGCTGGCGTAGCTTACAATTGTCCAGAAGTGAACCTAATTCAGCCTTGAGCTGATTCAGTTTTGGGGGTTCCGCTCAATATTGGGATGGCCTGGAGCTAGCAGGAACCTCCAGGGACATCCAGTCCTTTAGAACAAGTGCCTGTGAACTACAGGCCACAACCAATGCTTACCTGCTGCCTGTTTTGTAAATAAAATTTTACCAAAACAAAGCCAAGCCCATTTGTTCACATGCAGCCTATGGCTTTTTAAAGTAGCAACAGAAGAACTCAATAGGTGTAACAGACAATTTATAGGTTATGAAGTCAGAAATAGGTATTCACTGGTCCTCCACAATCAATAAAAATTGCTAACCACTGATCTGAAGGGCCCTCCAGGATGGCTGGTCATTACTGTACTGTACTTAGAACCACTCTCCTCAGCAAGCAAACATCATTGTATTACCTTTTTTTATACCAGAGTTTTCCATTTCTGTATGTCTCAGGAGGTTATGTTCTGGAAGCATTCTCCAGTGGACCAGTTATCACAGAGTACCTGTATAGAGCCACCCTTATGTAGCATCTGATCTCACCCTGGCCTTTTCTAAGAGCGGGGACACTTTCCCTGGGATTTGCGGTATCTCTACTTGCTGACATATATGTGTATCTCCAAATTTAAGCCATCACTCTTTCTGAGAGGGATTTCCATTCAAAATCAGCATAAACATGGAGACTACGGCCAGTAGAGCTGCATCAATTTTCCACTGACTGAGCAGCATTATGACATAGAAGATTTAAGTGGGGAAGGGTTGATGTTGTTAATGGAATAAAACTAGGAGTGGGTAGGTTTTGGTATTTGCTAACATGCAATAAAATGAAAAGATGAGAAGTGATTCTGAGGTCCTCATGTCTTACAGATTTGGGTCATTCTGGTTATCCAAGGTACTGTGTCTGTTTGGTACATCAGGAGCTCAGGTGTAGGTGGGTTAAAAGGTAGGGCAACGATGCTGGGAGAATTACTGTTTACGGTTATTGCGAGTCTTCCAAATTTTCAGAAGGCAGAGTGACAAATCTGGCTTGCTTTTACTTTTTTCAAGTCTACTAGAGAATGGGCTTTTAGAGAAACTGTCCTGCATGTTTGGCTCATCCCAGAGAGTGAATATATTGTCAAAAGGCAGGGTGCATCTACGACAGGCAGGGGTTCATAGGTATCTCCTATACTGCCATGGTAACCAAAAGGATAGTCCTGGGCTTGGTGCTAGACTGGCAGATGTACAGCAGGTGTAAAAAACTGACAGCTGGGTTAAGTCCAGTCCACAAACATAATTAGACTGGCTCAAGATATTTATGATATTTTTTCCCAGTTTTAAATTTTTGTTAGTACATTTGCATTATGTAAAGATTACAGTCCTTGTGGGGAGCCATGTACACAACACATCTCAATTTTTTGTTACATCTCTTTTCCCTCCCCTCCTTGCTCCCTCTTTTCATCTCTTGGTCTCCTTACTATTTGAACAAAATCTATTTTCCTACTTCCTATTACCTATTTTTCCTCAACTTGTGTATTTCATTTATTTCATTTAGCATTATGGTCTCAAGAAGCATCCGTTTTCCTACAGATGACTCAAGCTTTTGGTTCTTTATGGCAAAGTAGTACTTTATTGTGTATGAATACCACATTTTCTTCATCCAAATTAACTGTGAACATTTAAAAATTGAGGTATTTCATTTAAAAATCTGGATTTGTAACTTCTCCTAAAAATTAAAAGCCCATAACACAGATGGCTCCTGTCTGTTAGTGACTGGCTAGAGGAGAGGAAGCCTTCTTTTCAGAGGGAAACTGAGTTCTCCAGTTTGTTTTTATCCACACTCTCAAACATTTTATTCATCAGTGCTATCTGCTTGATCCCTAGGGCCTTGCAGCATGCAACCCCTGCTCAAAGTGCTGTACTAAGAATTTGTGCAACTGCAACCTTATATTTCTTTTTTTTGTTTTTGAGACAGCATATCACCATGGATTCCAGGCTGGCCTTGAACTTGCCATATAGCCCACGATTGGTCCTAAACTTGGGATCCTCCTCTCTTAAGTTTCCCAAGTGCTGGAATTACAGGCTATATCTTCATGTCTGACTGCAAATTTACATTCTTCCAAAGTCATTCTATCTCTCCTTTGACCCTGGTTAAGAGTTTTATAGCTCATATGTGCCGTTGGTGACCTGTTCATGTTCCATTCTGATTGTACTGTCCAATTTGGGTAAACTCCATGGTCAGTCACTAAGGACGGGGAGCCATTTACTACAAGGATCTGAAAGACTATAAAAGAGTGAGACTATTCAGTGTGCATGAGTGATCTTAGGATGGCTAAAAATTATCCTTTTGCTGAATTATCATTTCCTCTTTATCGCTTCTCCAGTGGTGATATATCTCATAATTTTTGAAGAAGATGAAGGATACTCTGTAGGGATATATTCATAGGGACTAACAATACTTGTTGATTTGGAAGTAAGTAACTGCTTCTTAGACTCAGCTTACTCTTTATGAACCTTATACTTTAGGTGGTACAAAAATGGAGACATGAAGAAAATTAAGAAAAAATATTAGATACCTGTCATACTGTTGGGAGTCATAGGTTAGTAATCATTCTGGATCCTTTTTTTCACTGACATCTCCTACAAAGAGAAAATACAAGAAAAAGTAATACAGATTATGATTTGCTTTTCCATAATGTTTTTGTTCCAAATAATATCATGTGGATTAATTAACTGGAGGTGACATTTGCTACTTTCAACTCAGATCTGGGGAAACAAGTATAAGTGGGCTATGTGACATTTGTAAGTTCAAAAGACCTCTTAATTTTCATTTCTCGGTTCCTTCTATAAACATGTTTTTAAAATAATGTTTTTCTCAAAGTCACATTTTTTCCCCCTTAGCTTTTTAAGTAAAAAAAAAAAAGAAAGAAAAGAAAAAGTCGCTGTGTTCTCCAAGACTGGCAAAGATGTTATCAGCATCTTCAATCTAGATTTTTGCTTCTCAGAGTGTGGTCTTCAGACTGGGAATTTTAGCATCTGAGGACAGCTTATTAGAAACAGAAAATTTGGGTCTTACCTTAATCAGACTCTGCACTGAAAAACATACAGGTAATTCATGTGCACCAGAAAGTCCTAGACACCCTGATATAGACTGAATCCCTCATCTGCTCATTTATGGCTTTTCTGCAGCCAGTGCTGACTTCCTCCTCTTCACATTAACATGAAGGACGCCTATAGGTGTCACTGACCAGCGGCACACTGACCAAGAAGGCATACAGATAGATAGGCCAGGTAGCTGAGGAACACAGGTCTGAGTCCCTCAGCATATTGCTGGGGACAGACAAGGACTAGGTCCCTTTTTCTGGAGGGTATCCTGGGTCCAGTGGAAGGCAGGGGCAGCATACTGGCTCGGATCAGCGCAGAAGCCTAACACGTGGGTTTGAAGGTCAGTGGCCTCACATACTGGCTGGGGTCATGACAAGTAATTTCAAAGTGCTGGAACCACCGCTTATTTAGTATAAAACAAGAAAACCAATGCACATATTTCACTAGGTTGATGTTTCTAAGGTTTAAAGAGGACGCGAGTGGAGAGATGGGCAAACTATGACGTACTGTGCACGTGAATGCCACTGGATCAGGAGCCAGACTGAGGTTGAAGGAGAGGAAGCACAGGAAAGAGGTGGCAAGAGAATTATGGCTTAAGAGATAGGTTTATATTCATCCCGAGTCTACATCTCCTACCAGACAATGAATTCACACCAGATCATAGCTCTTGTCACACCCAGGGGAAATTCTAGGTTTACACGGCTGCCTTTCCCACTAGACTGGAGCCTATTTATGGCTGGGCCTGTTCTTCTCATTTTTGCATCTTTTACATGAAGGAGGTTGTCAGATACACAATAGGCACTCAACAAGGGTACGCTGAATAAATGAGTAAAATAAAAAATAAGATAATATGGCATAATGAAAGTCATTTGAATTGGCAGCGGATAGAAAAGATGAATAATAACTACTTGGAAAATGGGCTTTTGCTACCAGTCAGCTTGCCTAGGGTCACACCAGCCACAACCTGCTGTGCGCCCTCAGTCAAATGTCCAGTTGTGTGCTAACCAAGAGTTCCAGGTTCGGAGATGTCCTACAGTGCGTGTACAGGCCTCACCCTATGGTACTGAATGTCTGGCCTGTGTTCTCTTGTTTAAAACTATCCAGCCATTTACCCTCCGTCTCCCAACCCATGGGAGTGGCATTTACACCTGAGATTCTGAAGGTGCTGGAGAAGATGAGTTTAGTTCAAGCTGGGCCAACCACAGGGTCCCACACCTCTGGCCAAAACGGTCCAAGACCACTTTAATGAGATGCCTCTTCAGGATACTGAGAGAGGAAGGAAGGGAAGAAGGCATGGAGGGAGAAAACGGTTACTATTATGTCTTATTCAGGGGAGGAATTCATCTCACATTAAAACTCAAAGTGTTTGTGGCCTCTCATCCATCCGGAGAAAGCCCATGTGAGGTAAGAGGACGAATCTGACATTCATAGACAGCCTGATGTAAAGAAAAGAGCTGTGGCCTCACCCCTGGTTCTGCTCCCCTTGAGAGCTACACCCCTCCCAGAGTCTGTGTACTCCACTCTTTCCTGTTACTCTGAGCAAATGTCCCCATTTTATATAAGCTGCTTTAGGCTTAGTTTCTGTCACTTGTAACCAAGAATCATGACCGTAACACTTGGATTCAAATACAATATTGATGCAGATACATTAGAAAGGTTTGCGTCTTTTTATCATCTTAACACTATAGCTTCAAAATCCATGTTATGTCCTTGCTACAAAATCAATTTAAAATATTATTTTCAAAATTGTAATTGAATATGTGTATGAACTACATGAAAGTATTGTATGAAAAACAGAAAGCATCCAAGAACAGGAAGAAACATTATTAATGTTTAAAATTAGTACCAGTCCCACAAACCTTACTACTCATTTTCCTTTAATACTTTTTTTCTTCAACTATAGTATGACTTAGTGCTTTAGTATTATGACATCACTGATGGTAGTATTACTATAGTATTTCAGTAATATTTAGTATTATTTCCTCCTACAAGCTCTAGAGTTTGAAATATAATCCAAGTAAAGCTTCTAATAACCCTCCAGGGGAGACAGGTATCCAAGGGTCTCATTTTCTGTTATCCTTTTTCTTTCTTTTTTTTTTTGGTTTTTGAGACTGGGTCTCACTATATAGTTGAGACTGACCTGGAACTCACTATGTAACCCAGGCGGATCTCGAACTCACAGCGATCCTCCTGCCTCAGCCTCCTGAGTGCTGAGATTACAGGCGTGCACTACCACACCTGGCTTCTGTCATCCTGTAAGACAGTGTGGGTGCAGTACAATGCCCTATAACGGGGAACGGGGGCAGTGTTAGTCCTCTCTAGGCCACAGAAACAGGCCTGGGATCACCAGTAGTTCAATGGGTCAAAGGGGAAAAAGTTGTAAAAAAAAAAAGGCAAGCTCTGAGCAATTCTTTTGCCAGAAAGGGAAGCAAGAGCAGCAAGGAGCTTTGTTAGTAGGGCACCAAGCAGGAAGAGTCAAGGTGCTGACTTGTTGGGAAGGGGTGTCTATGCTGAGGGAAGACTGACAACTAGAACTTGGTCTGGGAAGTGCTGAGTCAGGTCCAGCCCTCATGTCATTCATTAAAACCAGCCCCATGGCTCACTGGTCAGGGTGGAGTTTTCAATCAGGAGAGAAGGACATTCCATTTAGTCTCCTAGGCAGGTGCTCCAAAGTGGAGAGAACTCCTCTTTATGTTTTACATTCGTTCGTTCAGTGAACAGATCTTGATGGAGGATTGCTCTGTTCAGGCAAAGCTCTAGGGGTTGTTCCAAGACAACACTCGGCCTGCCCACAATGGGATTCTGATTTAACAGAGGGAGCTAATCTTGGTGCAAACTAAATGCAAAAGAGAATACAGCTTCCACTTCTCATGAGAGGTATGGGACAGAGGAAAGGAGTAGAACTTAGGTGGTGGCAGTGGAGGTAAGATCAGGGACTTGGGCATTTAGGAGGTAGAAATGGCGGTGATGATGTGATAGGAGCATTTCCCACCTGGGTAGCTCTGAGGATGGAGATAGGTTAAGATGGAAGCTGTGCCCTCAAGGAATTTACAATCCATTTTCCCCCCAATACTGGAGATTGAACTTGTGCTGGCCAGGCAGGCATGGCACCACTGAGCTACACAGCCCTGGCCCTATAACCCATTTTAAAAGCTGGCTGGGAAGAAGCAGCCAAAAATACAAACCACTGATGGCACGGCCAAGGGAGCAGTGCTGAGACCTGTGCAGGCCAATGCCACATTCCTAGGTAAAACTCATTTCCCTCAGAAATGTGGAGTGTGGGCACTCGCCCCTCCAACATGTGTATTTTTATGTTTTCTAAAAATACAAAAGAGGATAAAATTGTTACTGCATCCTCTGAGACTGAAAAATAAGTGGAATTGCTGCCATCCTTTAGGACATAAATGTCCAGGGACATTGGGAGACACTGGGCTCCATGTGAACTATGGTGAGCCAGGGCTCCTGCTAGTAACTCAAATGCTAATAATCTGCGGGACAGAGGTATAGCCTACTGACAAGAGCACACCTGGGCAGATGCATTCTCAGAGAGGCAGGTATTTTATGGAGAATTTCCTGGATGACGTCTAAGAAATGTCACAGGAAACCTAGGGAATTTCATAAAAAGGTTCAATAGTAGTTTTCCTACTTCTGAAAAGCTGAAATAAGGGAGAGGGATTAAGTGTATTCAGTGCACCAAGGATGACTTGGAGATGCTGCCAGGGAGGGCTGAGGATGACTTTCTCTCTTCCACCTTAGGCCTAATAAGAAGCAACTTTCATAGCTAGAGGTGGCCAGACAGAGGATCATCCTCCCTGTATCTGGGGCTGATTTTTTTTTTGGGGGGGGATGCTCATTTTTGTTCTCAGGGCACAGTAAGCCTCTGAGCACATCAACATTCTTATGCTGCAGAAACTGGTGCAGTGAGTGATATGGTTCCAGAGACCAGCAAACAACCATGAGGGCTCTTCACATTGTCCTCTAAAGCTTCGTGTCTTAGCTCAGTGGAGTTTGGTTACTGGGATGTAGTCGCCTCCAGGAATATAATGCAAAATTGGGCCCCTCCCCTAGAGAAATGAGTAAATGATTTGGCATACATTTTCAGGGGGTGCACAGACACCATGCACTTAAACACAGATTCTAATTTAAGCTTTGGCTGCAGACTTTGATCACTATTAGGCTGTAAGTAGATAGTGTAAGAGAGGTAAGGTGAATAAGAATGATTTAGCAAATAGAATTAAAAGGAGACATGAGAGCTATTTTAGTTTGGGACAAAGAGAAGGTCCCTTTGTGAGTGAAAGAAAGACAGGACTCTAAAAAACAGGCCTGGAAGCTGAAAAGCCATCTTCCAACCCAAATATTTGGTCTAGGCTGGTTCCATCAGACTCCAACTCAGGTCTGGTTCACTCAAGATGAATTACACACAGAGCCCATCGTGGGGACTGAGGTGAAGAACCTGTAACTCGGGTAGAAGAGATAAACAAGAGTGATGAAAGATGTGTTTGAAGGCACTGAGGACAGTATGATTCATTCTACCT